GAGCAAGGGAAAGAGGACACAAGAGGGCAGCAGAGGACAACAAATGGAAAACCAAGACTGACACAAGGGGAGTCCTTCTAAAGGGTTCTTTTATTGTATTTTAGCAATTAAACAACAGAAGCAGAAAAACACTTTCAAACATGGCAGCTGAAACATCAGGCTTTGTGGACGAGATTATTAAGTGGAGACAATAAGGTTAATCATGCTTTTTTCAATTGGAGAATTCTTGATCAAAACAGGGCAGTGAGCCTGAAAAGAAAGAGCTGCAATGGGAACAGCTGAAAACAATCCAATGGTAAAATTTTTCAGCTAAAGTTCAAATATGAAAATTCGAATTGACGTATTCAACCTGATCTGATTGGGTTTTGTAAGTTGGAATGTTTAGTTAAATTAGTTTCATTTATGATTAGTTTCTTAGTTTTTTCCTCTTTCCCTGTCCTTCTGGTTTACATAGAATTTATTATTTCTTTGCTCTCTAGCTTCAGTTATGCTCATTATCTAGTATATAACATTACAGTAATCCACCCCCCCCCCCCCAGCATGAATAGGTTGTCAGTGTATAATCTGTGAAAGCCTGGGATACCCAGGTTGTTTTAATATAATAATTTTTCATCATTCCGCCTCCTTTCATTGTCTAATTATCTTAGGTTCACAGCAAGCTATAAGCTATATAAGTTTATAACAAGTTGAGCAGTTTTTTAAAAAAAAAGACAAAAAATTGCATAAACCCAGATCCAATAAAATGAAGTAAAATGCTTGTAATTTGTCAAGTGTGAAAAGTTTCAAGGAGTGTGTATATTTTATAATGCTCTTGTAAATGAATCATAATGCCTCCTATTACAAAACTAAATCTGTGTTTGTCTTGGATTTGCAGGGTATTCGGTCAAGCTTATAAAAGAAAAGAAGATTTATTCTGGGCATCACACGTTAATGCTAGAAGTATCAGATTATCAGGGAAAGAAGGCTCTCCATAGCTTGACAGTAGTTGTATGTCAGTGCTCTGTTGCAACAAGGCCAGACTGTAGAATGCAAAAATCTACTGGATCCAGAGCAGGAGCAACAGCTGTGGGAATATTATTCTTTTGCATTATATTGCTTACAGGTATGACCAAATCTATATAACCAATTTTTTCAATAGCATAAAAAAGGACAAATGAAAATAATAATTGTCGATTCATGTGCCTGATCTCCAGGTTTGCTTTTTACAAGCTTCATGGTGTCGTGCAAACCTCAAAAAGTACTAATGCTTGATGATGATCCTGTGCAAAATTTAATGACAGGCAACACAGAAGAACCAGGAAATGACTGCAGAGTATGTTGTGTAATTTCATCACAGTTTGTTTTATAAATGTACAAACACTTTTGCCATAAGTGATGGTTATTGTTTGATTGTATAACAGATTAAGCACAAATCACAAATAAAAAAAAAACTAGAAATGTGTGTTTATGTTTTAGGTTCCTTTTGAACTCCTAAAGAACAAACATCATATGCAACAAATGAAAGTATCTGAAGATGTAATGCTGAGAATGACACCAGTAAGTGCTGTAAGTTGTTTACTAATTAACTGTATTAACTGAAAATAATTTAATAATATACTGTGGACCTCATTTTCAACAAATATTCTGACTGTAATCATCTGTCTAAGCTAACTTTGCTGTTTTTTCATCACTTCCACTGCTATTGTCTGAATGTCCTCTTAATTAGGGGATTTGTATGGTGTTGTTCCTCAAAATAACAAATAATACAACACAAAACTTTACTGAAATGTAAAAAATAAACAAAAGTTTGTATTTTCTGTTTATTTTCTCTAAACCAGAGTCAAAAGACTATATTTCGGCCTAAATACTAGGGGTGTAAATCCCAGACTTTATCACAATACGATATTGCTGATTTAACAAAGCTTGTCACAAAATGATTTCAGTTTAATTAACATGTCTGTCATCCATATGATGTGATATCTGCACATCTAAAATAGCTAGTTACAGAAACAACTCAGATCGCCTATGAACTGACCATTCCTTTCTAAGCTTTTACAGGCATCATGCATTTACTTTCAGTTTCCTAGAAAATAATATCTATATTTCTTCCCTGTAGTATTACAATTAAAGTGTATCCTGAAGATGATGTGCTAAAACTTCTCATACAATGTAACTGGATTGTTAATCATTTAAACTTTTACTCTAGTTAGATCAGTCCATACACTGAAAAGAAATTCCTTTATAAGGAAAAATGGATGGCAGCTTGTATGAGAATGGTGGGACAGATTGTTAAACATGCAACGCTAATGGATTTTGCTCTTTTCATAACATTGAGTATCAGTTTTGTTCCTGGGAAGTTAGCCACATAGACTCACTGTCTTACATTAATATCAATTGTAAAACATTTTACTATTATAAGAAAATGCATAACTACCTGACTAAACACACATGCATCACATCGAGTTGATCAATGACTGTTCTTTACCTTGGTCTTTCTTTTTTTTTTCATCCTCTGTGGCATCCTGTCATGAAACAACCATTATCAAAATGTTTACTATTTTTTTCTTTTTTTCTTTATGCTCTGTTTTCATTTTTTTTGTGACTTTTTTGCTCATTAAAAAATGGAATATTTAACCAAGTTATGCGCCTCCTTCCTAGGTATTCTGTGAGTCTGTCATAAACTCACAAGCCTGCCCGAACGGCCTCCAGTCATATCCAGACAGAAGCTCTCGGAGAAATTCTTCCGTGGTAGTACTAAAATAATTTCTTTAAGTAATTCATTGTTATCTATTACTACAGTTTTCTGTTATTATGTTCTTTATGTCATGTTTAAAGAGGTGTATTTGAAAGTGTTAAGAGACACACTTTTCTTTAAATAACCTTTAAATGTTTTAGATTTCCTAATTATCAACATGGTTCCCATTCACTAAATGGCAAAGTAATGAAAATATGAAAATATATTCAGACATTTTTTTTTTTATTGTCTTCAAATGAAAATATGTGCAGTATTTGATAGTTTTGCCTTTTCCATCTCACAGTACAGATAAACTGCTCACATATAACTTTTGAAATCTCCCCGCAAGAGATCAGCATTTTGATTTAGCCTTGTTTAGGAAATTATAAATTTGGAAGATCCATTTGTGCCCAAGCTGTAATTTCCTTCCTGTATCATCTTCTTTGGGGACAAAACACAAACACACTCTAACACTATTCTAGGAAAAAATTGTTTTTATTTTTTTATTGATTTTTTCTTTTTTAATAAATCATTGCGAGATCTTCAGACTTGACAATTCAAATCAAAGATGAACTAGACTTCTGGAGGGCTGATATTCAGTTAGTTAGTTAGTTAGTTAGTTAGATAACATTACAAAAAAAAGCTGTTTCTCCATATTTCCATTCTTGTTCTGTGTGAAGAGTAGTCTTTAGTCAGAAAACCTAGAAGGTCAGGTGAGTTGAAACAACATCTTTAATGTATTTTGGTGCTAACTCATTCAGTGATTTATAGACTAACACAAGTATTTTAAGAGTCATTTATCTGAAAGAGAGGGAACCTGTGTATGGCAACAGCATTCCAGATCAACTGCAGCTGTTTGATTGACATTTTAGGCAGACCTTTAAGACATTGTTGCAAAAATCAATTTTAATAAAGAGAAATGCATGAGTTAGATCCTGCTGCATAGTCTTTTAACCTGGAAATGTTCTNGGTAACTTACGGTATGCTGTTGTTTGTTTTAACCTAGGCAAGTTCATGTAGATATAATATATTTCTGTGGTTTGTTAAGAAACGCCTTTTTGTTGTGTTGTGTGCTAGTCCTCCAGGGAGATGTCAAATGAGGTTTCTCCTTCAGCCATGGAGATCAGACGTCAGCAGGGAACATTAAGGGATTCGGTACTGTAACATAATTCTTGCAAATGATATCACATAATTAAAATTCATTTTCTTGAAGGAGGTAATGTATTTTGTGCATGAAATAAAACTATAAACTCTCTTCAAATTGTATAGGTTTTGAGGGAAATTCCTCACGAAGCTCTACTATTTGAGGCAATGAATGTAATGCTGGAAAAACTTGAGGCACCCGGCCAGGAACTTGGTGATTATGAACCTACTAAATATGCTTATGAGGGAGATTTGGAACACAACTTTGAACTTGACACCATTTCCAATCCTGAATCTCCCTTTGACTCTGAGATAGAACTGGATTCTAGGTTCTTGGAACTGGCCTCAATCTGCTCTCCTGAAATGTTTCACCGAAGCACAACAATTTAAACCCGCTATTCTTGCAAGCATGTTTGGGTACAGAGGGCTATTTTCTGTGGTGTAAATAATCGCAAGCTTTATTTTTTATTTTAATTTTTTTTTTATAATGGCACAGTTTCTACCAAAAATTTGAAGTTGCATGGATTTTGCTGTTGAAAAAACAATGAAATGGATTTTCTTAATATAACTTCATATAATTAACATTTTCTTGGTCAGAAATTGAATGGGATTACCTGAACATTACTTTATGGAGATCAAAGAAAAAGAAAATTATTGTGTGACATGTAAAGTATACATAGCAAAGGCTTACTATTTTTTATATGATGTGTATATCATTTGGATATAAAAAATGTTAAATATTTTTAGAGTTTGCCCTTTTTATCGACATTGTTTTTATTTGCACACATTTAAAATATTCTAAGCATAAAAGAATAATACTGTAAATAATACTAATAAACAGATGAGTTCTTTAAAAAACCTAGAATCCAATACCAGGGCCAATCCATTACCAGCAATTTTTTTTATTTTATTTATTTTTTTTGTATATGGCTGTACATAAAATATCAAAAACCATTTGATTATGATAAATATGGTAATAAACACCAATACTGATACTGTTTAGTACTTTCTGAGCCTAATTAGAATCAAGCACCAGACACGAAAGGTAACAAAGAGACAATTATTAATCAAATAAACAAATTTACAGTAACTCTATGATCTAGTCAATCATCTGCAGAAGAAAATTCTTGTTTCTATTAAACAGATGTTTGATCATCTGTTTGGTCACAAGATTCTAATCCAAGGAGGAAGGTTTCTCAGAAACTGTTTAAAATGAAGAAACATCTTATCAAGTAATAATAATCAATTCCAATCATGTATTAGGCATATATATAAATATATATACATATATAAATATATATATATGAAAAATGTGTTGTTCATATCTGTCATTCCAAGTTAAAATGTTGTAGAATCTCCTTTGCCTCAGTTGCAGCTGCATGCTTTTTATTGGTGTTAACCAGTTTGTACATGTACAGACTAAAATGTTTACCCTCTCTTCTTAGCAAAACAGGTCCAACCTGAACCAAACCTCTAGTTTTATTTTTGCAGCCTCTAACAGATTTCATAACTGCCCTGAGTTTATCTCCATCAACCCCCTGGTCAATCTGGTATTCCTGACACTGCAGAACAAAGGTCTTCACACAGCATACTGCCACTAACGTGTTACACAATAAGGATGGGATGTGCAACCAAATATGACGGTTTAGCTACAGCTTCTTCCATTATCCAAATCGCTCAATTTTACTCTTATCTAACCAGAGACCTTCTTTATCATGATTGCTTTGTTGAAACAAGCCAAAAGTTGTAATTTTTCTGGAAATATTTCCAAGCATCTACAATTTGGTCCTGGAACCTATTTCACAGTAGCTAACAAGCACACTTATCATGATTAAAATAAATAACACAAAACCCATACACAACTAAACAATCTGACAACCCAGGAAAATGACACATAGGTCTTTCAATCTGCTCTGAGTGTTCTTAGGAGGAAGAGCCTCCATGTGGCTTGAAATGATCAGCGCTCCAACTACATATTGCCCTAGTGTAAGCCAACTGTATTAACAAAGACTCCGGGATAGGTGCCAGAATTTCTTCAGATATACTGTGCAACAGTGGTGTCAAAAGTACACACACTTGTTACTTAAGTAGAACTATAGCTACTGCAGTTTAAAAACACACTCGTAAAAGTTGAAGTATCAACTTAACCTCTTTATTCAAGTAAATGTGAAAAAGTATGCGCTCCAAAAACTACTTAAAGTATAAAAGTATAAAGTATATTTATATAAAAATATAAAAGTAAAAAGTATAAAAATATAAAATACCCTTTAAAAAAAACAGCCAGATGCAACTATATGAATTGAAAGCTCAATTTTTCAACTATTTCTAAAAATTCTTTGAGATAGAGCGAAGGATGAGGGATGTCTTGTTAGTCTCCATCTCCAGATACGCTCTCGCCTGTGTCCGACCTTTCAAACATTTCGACATCTTTTTTTGTATCCGACATTGCACCATGGCATAGATAATTAGCGTTTGCAGTCTGAAGAACGCCTGCTTGCTTCTGATGATTTCCTTTAGCTAACCAATGAGTGTTTGCATTATATGACTCATCCAATTACACTAGTTTTCACTAGACGTGGATGGAGCCAATGATCTGCATTGGATGGTGCAAATAAAATAAATATTTATAAACATAAAACTGAAGCCAAGAGTAACAAGTAACATTTGTTTTGAAAATGTAAGGAATAGAAAGTACAGATACTTGTGTGAAAATGTAATGAGTAGAAGTCAGAACTAGGAAGATAAAAAAGTAATGGATTAAAGTATAGATACCTAAAAAGTGTACTAAAGTACAGTAACGTAGTATTTGTACTTCGTCACTTGACACCTCTGCTGAGCAACATTCTGTTTGCCTCAGATTCAACCCTGTTTTGTGGTTGTCATGATTGAGAATTTCCAGAGGCAAGTATTATATTTCTCTCCCTAATGAGAATGAGGCTATTGGGAGTCTCTGATCCTCAGCATAAAATAAAGAATCAAAGTATCCCCTCTCCATCTTGTTTAGTTCTTCTTTTAGGTCTCCTGTGTAGGGAGATCCTTATTTCTGTGTGCACCATAGGTTGTGGCCACAACTTTTTTTTTTGTGTGTCAGTTCTTGAGCTCCACGTGTTCATTAAAACGTACTAAAATAAGTTTACCCTAAAATGTAAATCAGGGAATCTCTGTCTTTTTACTGTGTGGCTAAATGATTGTAAATGTCTGACACAAAAAAAAGCTGCTTCTATTTTTTCACTGAATTTGAATTACAGAAATGAATGTGAAAATAGAAAGAAAAAAAAGTCCAATACAATTAAATACATAATCAGAGCAAATAACTCTCAGTTTTAATTTTATGAAATACATTTTCAAAGCAATGCATTTTATTTATTTTTACATGAATGTAGATTCAGTCTCAACAATTCAAATTCGAGTTTTTGCCTGTGAGAACCAGATGGGGACTTGATCCATTTTGTTTTACCGCCCTCTAGTGGTAGAACTAGACTATGCACCCTTTCTAATATTGCAGGACAGGCATGGTTTTATGTTGTTGAGCATCTCAATTTACATAAAAAAATAAATGTCCAACAAAACACATTAAAATATTTATAAGAATTGAGAAAGTTTAGGGAGTGGTGGCCTAGTGATTAGGGCATAGGGATTGGAGTCTTGAGGCTGTGAGTTTGAAATCCACTCCCACTGACTGCCACCCTGAGTCTCTGAGCAAAACACTTAACCCCCGGTCTGCTCCCCAAAGAGGATTCGTTAAATGCAAAGAGTTCATTTCTTCATTGTGAGATCAATAAAGTTAGTTTTATTGTAATTTGTTCAAGGAGATACTAAAAATCTTCAGTCTGAAGACAGGAGGGGCCAGATTATCAGCATTAATGAAAAAGACAATCTATAAAAGAATACAATAAAAATCAAGAAATATGTTTATAAAAACTGCTAAATNGGTAACTTACGGTATGCTGTTGTTTGTTTTAACCTAGGCAAGTTCATGTAGATATAATATATTTCTGTGGTTTGTTAAGAAACGCCTTTTTGTTGTGTTGTGTGCTAGTCCTCCAGGGAGATGTCAAATGAGGTTTCTCCTTCAGCCATGGAGATCAGACGTCAGCAGGGAACATTAAGGGATTCGGTACTGTAACATAATTCTTGCAAATGATATCACATAATAAAATTAATTTTCTTAAAGGAGGTAATGTATTTTGTGCATGAAATAAAACTATAAACTCTCTTCAAATTGTATAGGTTTTGAGGGAAATTCCTCACGAAGCTCTACTATTTGAGGCAATGAATGTAATGCTGGAAAAACTTGAGGCACCCGGCCAGGAACTTGGTGATTATGAACCTACTAAATATGCTTATGAGGGAGATTTGGAACACAACTTTGAACTTGACACCATTTCCAATCCTGAATCTCCCTTTGACTCTGAGATAGAACTGGATTCTAGGTTCTTGGAACTGGCCTCAATCTGCTCTCCTGAAATGTTTCACCGAAGCACAACAATTTAAACCCGCTATTCTTGCAAGCATGTTTGGGTACAGAGGGCTATTTTCTGTGGTGTAAATAATCGCAAGCTTTATTTTTTATTTTAATTTTTTTTTTATAATGGCACAGTTTCTACCAAAAATTTGAAGTTGCATGGATTTTGCTGTTGAAAAAACAATGAAATGGATTTTCTTAATATAACTTCATATAATTAACATTTTCTTGGTCAGAAATTGAATGGGATTACCTGAACATTACTTTATGGAGATCAAAGAAAAAGAAAATTATTGTGTGACATGTAAAGTATACATAGCAAAGGCTTACTATTTTTTATATGATGTGTATATCATTTGGATATAAAAAATGTTAAATATTTTTAGAGTTTGCCCTTTTTATCGACATTGTTTTTATTTGCACACATTTAAAATATTCTAAGCATAAAAGAATAATACTGTAAATAATACTAATAAACAGATGAGTTCTTTAAAAAACCTAGAATCCAATACCAGGGCCAATCCATTACCAGCAATTTTTTTTATTTTATTTATTTTTTTTGTATATGGCTGTACATAAAATATCAAAAACCATTTGATTATGATAAATATGGTAATAAACACCAATACTGATACTGTTTAGTACTTTCTGAGCCTAATTAGAATCAAGCACCAGACACGAAAGGTGACAAAGAGACAATTATTAATCAAATAAACAAATTTACAGAAACTCTATGATCTAGTCAATCATCTGCAGAACCTCCTATGAAAACATCAAGAGAAAATAAAATTCTTGTTTCTATTAAACAGATGTTTGATCATCTGTTTGGTCACAAGATTCTAATCCGAGGAGGAGAGTTTCGCAGAAACTGTTTAAAATGAAGAAACATCTTATCAAGTAATAATAATCAATTCCAATCATGTATTAGGCATATATATAAATATATATACATATATAAATATATATATATGAAAAATGTGTTGTTCATATCTGTCATTCCAAGTTAAAATGTTGTAGAATCTCCTTTGCCTCAGTTGCAGCTGCATGCTTTTTATTGGTGTTAACCAGTTTGTACATGTACAGACTAAAATGTTTACCCTCTCTTCTTAGCAAAACAGGTCCAACCTGAACCAAACCTCTAGTTTTATTTTTGCAGCCTCTAACAGATTTCATAACTGCCCTGAGTTTATCTCCATCAACCCCCTGGTCAATCTGGTATTCCTGACACTGCAGAACAAAGGTCTTCACACAGCATACTGCCACTAACGTGTTACACAATAAGGATGGGATGTGCAACCAAATATGACGGTTTAGCTACAGCTTCTTCCATTATCCAAATCGCTCAATTTTACTCTTATCTAACCAGAGACCTTCTTTATCATGATTGCTTTGTTGAAACAAGCCAAAAGTTGTAATTTTTCTGGAAATATTTCCAAGCATCTACAATTTGGTCCTGGAACCTATTTCACAGTAGCTAACAAGCACACTTATCATGATTAAAATAAATAACACAAAACCCATACACAACTAAACAATCTGACAACCCAGGAAAATGACACATAGGTCTTTCAATCTGCTCTGAGTGTTCTTAGGAGGAAGAGCCTCCATGTGGCTTGAAATGATCAGCGCTCCAACTACATATTGCCCTAGTGTAAGCCAACTGTATTAACAAAGACTCCGGGATAGGTGCCAGAATTTCTTCAGATATACTGTGCAACAGTGGTGTCAAAAGTACACACACTTGTTACTTAAGTAGAACTATAGCTACTGCAGTTTAAAAACACACTCGTAAAAGTTGAAGTATCAACTTAACCTCTTTATTCAAGTAAATGTGAAAAAGTATGCGCTCCAAAAACTACTTAAAGTATAAAAGTATAAAGTATATTTATATAAAAATATAAAAGTAAAAAGTATAAAAATATAAAATACCCTTTAAAAAAAACAGCCAGATGCAACTATATGAATTGAAAGCTCAATTTTTCAACTATTTCTAAAAATTCTTTGAGATAGAGCGAAGGATGAGGGATGTCTTGTTAGTCTCCATCTCCAGATACGCTCTCGCCTGTGTCCGACCTTTCAAACATTTCGACATCTTTTTTTGTATCCGACATTGCACCATGGCATAGATAATTAGCGTTTGCAGTCTGAAGAACGCCTGCTTGCTTCTGATGATTTCCTTTAGCTAACCAATGAGTGTTTGCATTATATGACTCATCCAATTACACTAGTTTTCACTAGACGTGGATGGAGCCAATGATCTGCATTGGATGGTGCAAATAAAATAAATATTTATAAACATAAAACTGAAGCCAAGAGTAACAAGTAACATTTGTTTTGAAAATGTAAGGAATAGAAAGTACAGATACTTGTGTGAAAATGTAATGAGTAGAAGTCAGAACTAGGAAGATAAAAAAGTAATGGATTAAAGTATAGATACCTAAAAAGTGTACTAAAGTACAGTAACGTAGTATTTGTACTTCGTCACTTGACACCTCTGCTGAGCAACATTCTGTTTGCCTCAGATTCAACCCTGTTTTGTGGTTGTCATGATTGAGAATTTCCAGAGGCAAGTATTATATTTCTCTCCCTAATGAGAATGAGGCTATTGGGAGTCTCTGATCCTCAGCATAAAATAAAGAATCAAAGTATCCCCTCTCCATCTTGTTTAGTTCTTCTTTTAGGTCTCCTGTGTAGGGAGATCCTTATTTCTGTGTGCACCATAGGTTGTGGCCACAACTTTTTTTTTTGTGTGTCAGTTCTTGAGCTCCACGTGTTCATTAAAACGTACTAAAATAAGTTTACCCTAAAATGTAAATCAGGGAATCTCTGTCTTTTTACTGTGTGGCTAAATGATTGTAAATGTCTGACACAAAAAAAAGCTGCTTCTATTTTTTCACTGAATTTGAATTACAGAAATGAATGTGAAAATAGAAAGAAAAAAAAGTCCAATACAATTAAATACATAATCAGAGCAAATAACTCTCAGTTTTAATTTTATGAAATACATTTTCAAAGCAATGCATTTTATTTATTTTTACATGAATGTAGATTCAGTCTCAACAATTCAAATTCGAGTTTTTGCCTGTGAGAACCAGATGGGGACTTGATCCATTTTGTTTTACCGCCCTCTAGTGGTAGAACTAGACTATGCACCCTTTCTAATATTGCAGGACAGGCATGGTTTTATGTTGTTGAGCATCTCAATTTACATAAAAAAATAAATGTCCAACAAAACACATTAAAATATTTATAAGAATTGAGAAAGTTTAGGGAGTGGTGGCCTAGTGATTAGGGCATAGGGATTGGAGTCTTGAGGCTGTGAGTTTGAAATCCACTCCCACTGACTGCCACCCTGAGTCTCTGAGCAAAACACTTAACCCCCGGTCTGCTCCCCAAAGAGGATTCGTTAAATGCAAAGAGTTCATTTCTTCATTGTGAGATCAATAAAGTTAGTTTTATTGTAATTTGTTCAAGGAGATACTAAAAATCTTCAGTCTGAAGACAGGAGGGGCCAGATTATCAGCATTAATGAAAAAGACAATCTATAAAAGAATACAATAAAAATCAAGAAATATGTTTATAAAAACTGCTAAATTTAACACAAAAAAACCCATAATTTAAAATAAATAGCAAAATTATCATGAAAAGTGGACTGCTTAAATAGGATACCTCTATGTGAAAAGCTGCTCTATTCAAACTTTCAGTTTGAATATGAAGGAGCCAAAACTTTTTTTTGCGTCTCATCTTTTTTTTTTTTTTTTTTTGGAGTTTTTTTCTGCTCTGACCTACATGAGCACAAAAACCTAGAAATAAAAAGGTGCTGATGCTATAGCCCACAAACATTCCGTATTTAAAAAGGAATATTTTCAGTTTTGGAGCACATGGCATTTTTACATATGAAGAAAAAATAAGGTTTTACTTCCTAATGTCTGAGGTCTCAACCTGACAGAACCCCAAGCAAACATTAAATAGATAAGTCTAAAATAATGTAAAATAACTGCAATATCTCTTAATAAAACATTAAGATAATCCATCATGACCAGCATGAATGAGAATATTTACTGACACTATAAGAGCAGTGCAAAAACAATCTATTTTAAGCACCATGTTAATAAATGTATCTTATATCAGTAACTGAATTCAAATGTGCTTAAGTTAAGCATATGAATGGGAAACTGAGTGGAAGGAAGATCTGTGGATGGAAAATACACTCAGGCATACAGAAAGAAAACAGCTGCGGCCGTGAAAGCATTTTGGAGCAATAGACACCAAATAGGCATATTTTAGAAGATAACAACACTCTTTTAATTACATTTATTTTAATGGGCCCTTGGTAATATAGCTTTCTGACAAACTTCATTTTAGTTTTCTTTATTGAAGTTAATCTTTAAAATTAACTGAAATAAACTGAAATTGTTTTTTAAGCATTTATCTGTAGAACAGTACTTTACATAAATTATACCTGTAAAACAGCTGCATGCTCTACCTCTGAAAAATATGCATTCTTATGTGTGTTTTAGTAGGGTGTGTAATATTTCAATATAACAGCACATTATGTTGTGTTTTGTTTGTTTATTCACAAGAAATTAAAAACATCAAACACTGTCCACTTCTAGTTATAATTGTTTTCTACCAGCTAGTTAGTTTTGACTCCTCTGCTGTCGTCTCCTTGAAGGAAGCCATCATAAAGCTCTCTAAGGTGCAGAATCAGCTCCTCAGTATTCTGCCCTGTAAGAGCAGAGACGGGGATGACCCGCTGTGTGACGTGGCTCTTCAGGGTCTCCAGCTTCTCCCGGGCCTCTGGTAGGTCCATTTTATTGGCTACTATAGCCTGAGGCCGCTGGGACAGATGGGGCTCATACTGGTCCAGTTCATAACGCAAGTCCTGCAGCTGGGTCCACGGCTCAGGCGCAGACAGGTCCAGGACAAAGAGGAGGAAGCGACAGCGCTCAATGTGACGCAAGAAGGAGATTCCCAAGCCTCGATTCAAATGGGCTCCTCGGATGATGCCGGGGATGTCTGCAACTGAGCATGAAGGACGTAAAGTTGAGTCAAATATTTAAAGCAAGCTCTTAACACCAACCTAAATTTAAGTAACCCTTGCCTTTTTGCATACCCAAATATAAAAAAAAAAAAAAAATAACAAAGGAACTGTAAGCCCAAAATTACATGTGTGATATATCATTTGAAAGCTAACACCATCTAGATTCTGAAAATATAAATGAAAGTAGTGTAACTAAAACACAGCCGAAACAGCAGCAGTGAAAACATGACTCAAAGTTTTTCTTCTTGAAAATAATAGGTCTTTTTTTGAATAGCAGTAACAAAGAAATGCTTGAAAATAGGCAAGTGCCATTATTTTACATTTATTCTGCATTATGACAACAACTGCAGAAACTTTCAGACCTCTTAACTATAACTTAGTATGGTATATATATAACTTTTAACTTCTAAAGTCATCAGCATCTTCAAACCTCTCCAAATATGCCAAATTAATCCAAATTGTGCTTATTGCTTTTAAAAAACAATTTTATCACAAAAACCGCACTGGAGCATTTTGATGGCCACGAAACAATTAAGAAGCAAATATTTTTTAATTTTTCTAACTTCCCATCTAATTATCTAACAGTGTGCAATGATCCAGGATCGGATCTAACTCTGTGCCTTTATGAATGGCTCTCTATCTATTCAAATGAGCCATGCTTAACCTTGTTTTAAAGTTGCTTTCATTAGTTACAGAGCCAAACATTGCGTGATGAATAACCCAATGGTAGGCGGACTTTATGAGGAATAATATGAAGGGAATCATGTGTAAAGAAGGCAGCTGAGAGGGCTGGCCTGGCGGCGCAGGTTGAGGAAACAAACATACCTGACATTGACCCGAAATATCTGTGTAATTAGTATTAGACGGTTAGGATTACCTTTACGGATCGAACTTTTCTCATGCTCCAAAACGGACTTTATGTGGCGATTTTCTCGTCATGGAATGTTTTATTATGAATATGCTGGATTACATTTTATCTGTGGACCCTTACAGACAAATGGAATATAAACAATCTAAGAACGGATTTTTAACACGGCCTCAGGAACACATTAAAGGTAGGAAGTCAAATCTTTATTTAAAAAATTCAGATTTACATTGCAGCTACTTCTTTATTAAATATGCTTTGGTGCTCATGGTTTCCATAAAATTTATTTGGCAGTTGGATTTTGGAGAATCTAAGCTTTCTAAAGATGTATAACAGGTCTATATTGGTAAAAGTTTAAAGCGTACTGCTGTGTTTGATGTAAATATAGAAGACGGTGCACCGGCGAACTAGTGGGAGTTAAGATGGTAATTTTTAAACCAGCATATGATCCGTTCTGAAAAATGTTTGCTTTTGTAAATTAGTGCTTTTTTTAAGAAAAGAAAAACAAACAAACAAACAAACAAAAAAAAAAAAAAAAAAAAAAAGAGTACCAGCAACTT